ACGCGACGAGGCGCGCGCCCGGGTTGTGTCGCGAGTAGAGGAGCGTCAGGCCAGGCCCGGGGCACAGCCCCGCCGCCGGCTTGAGCTCCTTGTGCAAGTACAGGTCGGCCGACTCCCACTCCTTCTTGGCCGGCGCGCGCGGCGCCATCGCCCTCGCAGTCGCCCGCCTCGCCGCCTCTGCCGACGCCGCCTTGGCTCGCTCCAGCTTGCCGCTCGAGCTTCCGCCGACCCGCGACTCTCGGGGAAGGGTCGACGGCTCGCTGGCCACCCTGGCGATCTCACCCCCTCCGCCCGCCTGCTTGCCCGGCTCCGCGACCGCCTCGCCGCCGTCGGCGGACAGCACGACAGCGACGATCTTCTTGAGCGTCACCTGGGCGCGCAATCCTGTGCAGTCAGGGCAAGTGGGGGCGGGGGGCGGTCCCTCTGGTCCGATACTGGTGTGGTGACTGTCCCTAGTCTCGGAGGGGGGGGCTTGAAGCCAAGAATATTTCTTTCTTCTTCTTGAGCGCCACCAGCTGGAAGACCTCGGAGCGGAGCCACGGCACCACCGCCCGGCTGCCGAAGAGGTCGCGCGGCACTCGTCGGGGCACTGGTCGCGCAGCTCCTCGAGCGGCGCGCCTATGCCCTCGGGTGATCTCGGGTGATCTCGGGCGATCTCGGGCGATCTCGGGCGATCTAGGGTGATCTAGGGTGATCTCGGGCGATCTCGGGTGAATCTCGGGCGATCTCGGGCGATCTCGGGCGATCTCGGGTGAATCTCGGGGAGGAGGGGGGGGCTCGGGCGAGATCGGGCGGATCTCGGGCGATCTCGGGCGATCTTGGGCGGATCTCGGGTGAGCTCGGCGCGCCTCCGTGGTTCTCGTCCAACCAAATGTGTTAGTACACCAAAAAAAGAAAGTCAATGCGTCAGGGTGCATGATCGTTCGCTCCTTCGTCTCCCTCGGCTGGGCTGCGGCTGGCGGCGTCTCGCGTCTCGCGCTGTGGGTAGCACTAGCAGCTAGAGCCGTATCACACACACGAAGCTCGCTTTTGTTTTGTTTGTAGTCCAGCGCGCAGCGCCATTTCTTCTCGATAAGAAGGTCTGTGAAATGGAACTAGCTAGCCTTTGCTCTGTGCAGCCCTGTGCGCTATAGATAGAAGATAGATCATACCGACCGTAGTTGCTAAGGTTTTTAGCTCACGCACGTCGTGAAGGTATCTAAAGCCCCACTCTCCACACCGAAATGAGATAGCTGTACATAATAATAATACACAAACGATAGCAGGTGGTGGAGCAAGGCGGGGCAAACCCTCGTACATTCAGAGATCAGACTGGAGCCCCCACTCACTGGCTGGTCAAACACAGAACGCAAGGCGCGCGCTCCCCACATGTGCGCCCAAACACCGCTCCGCCCGCCCCCCGGCGGACACCAAGTACACGTGTGAGCACAACCTGCCAATGCAATGCGCGATGGGCGATACATGTCGCGACGCGCAGGGCTCACTAGAGGCAGAGCTCACGCGCAGCCCCGCATGAACGGGCTCCACCTCTCACTTTTCGCGCACCAAACCCAGAGGCGGCGGCTGTGACGGCGACGGCGACGGCGGCGGCGACGTCGAGCGAGGAGAGCGGCGCGACCACCTGTTTCGTGAGACGAGCAAAAGATAAGCAACGGGGGGGAGGTGTGGGGTGGCGTGTGTGTGTGTGTGGGGGGGGGGGGAGTCACACAGAGGAGGGACTCAGAGCGGCTACCCTCGCGCAAGGCACCTTGCCATCGATGTAGTGCATCGCCTTGGGGTTCGCAAGCGCGACGACAAGGCGGCCGAGAGAGGGGCAGACCGCCTCGACGAGCGGGACGAGGTACTTGTTGCGCGCAACGACGGCCGCACTGTTGTACGAGGTCGCGACGCCGTCGACGACTGGCCAGCCGCCGTGCTTGGTGAGGGGGCTGTGCAGCCCGTCGGCCACGACCTTGGTTATCTTGAGGACGGGTGCCTGTGGGGAGGAAGGGGTGTGGGTGGGAGGAAGGGGTGTGGT